AATTTGGCTTATGCTTGATAAACCCAAATTTAACACATTTTTAGGGTCTCTTTTGGTAGCCTTATAAATACATCAAGTCTCAAGCCTCAAAACACAATAGTGATAGATGAGATATACGTTCGGCTCTCTCCCTATTATGAACCAGATTTTTCTTCTTCTTCTCGGGAGCTTGTGAGATTTGAGAGCTTCGTTCGATCGTTCCACCAAGATCATTCGAAAAAGGTTTTTTGAGTAAAATAGTAGAAGATCTTTTTTTTTTTTATTCGTATCTCGTGCAATATATTCGAATCCCACAAAGTTTATGTAATTCGCGGGATTGTTCGTTAATCATTATAATTTGCACAATGTTGCACAATTATTCTTTCTCTATTTTACAAGTGTATAGTCCGTGCGATGCACGAGTAAACAATATTAAATAATAATTGTAAATTGAAGATGTGGATAAACAATATTAAATAATAATTAAAAATTAAAAATGTGGAGTTAACATGTGATATATTTTATTAATATCAATTTGTTGTTAACAATATATACATAAAACATGCATCTATAAATTTTTTTATATGGTATGAGTTATGAAAAAAATAATAAATTTTTTAAAAAAACATTTAAATATTAAATAAAAAATCCTATTTCTATTTTGTTTTTATTTTTAAGCATAAAATTTTTAAATATCATCATAATTAAAATTATTTTTATATTACTAATTTTTATATTTTTATATAGCATCTCGCATACTATTTTTATACATTTATGTGATCATATTAAAAATCTTGATTATGTAAGGGATTTATTTTTTGGCAATTGCTAAATCATTTTTTAAAAAAAAAAAAAATTATTATGAGAAAATTGAATTATAAAAAACATGTGTGTGTATTTTGTAAACATTTATACTCAAAATTTTATTTTGAATTTCATTACATAAAGAATATTACTTCTATAACTTATATAAATAATAATAATGACATTATATGATTATAAATTTTATAATAAAATAATAATTGAGTATTATATGGTGAACAAGAATAAATAAAATTTTTATTTTTTCTTATATCAATGAATAAATATGTATTCTAAAATTAAATAAATATTAGTAAAACGTGTTAGCGAAATTATATATTAATTAACATGTTAATTTTTTTGCTTAAATAAACGTCACTTATTAAAAGATGTGAAATATGGATGATCCACGCCTATTATTTTTTTGTCTAGACGTACAAGTTCTATAAAAATAAATAATTTATTATATGTATCACGTGCATCGCACGAGATATGCACTAGTTTGACTAATAAGCAATATAGATAAATATTCATTCAACTTGCGCTCGCACGTCTTCTTAAAATTGGAAAAGTTAACCTACATTCTGTTGCATGTTAGTAAATGATGTGGCGGATTATGATTAGTTTTAATTTTGAGGGAATGGTTCCCTGCAAAGTCTCAACGGGAATTTTTCCCATCATTAGTAGTAAATAATAAAATAACAAATTACACACGCACTGCAGAACAAAAAAAAAAACCTCGTCAATGAAAAAACTAGTACAAATCCCGTGCTATGCACGGGTAAGAGATACTTATTGATACTTATAAATAGAAAATGTTCATTAAAAATTTTTACAAATTAAAAATATGGAATCAACATGCAATACAGTTTACCTATATTAATATATTAAAAATGTTATATAAAATTTAAATTGTGCAAAATTACATAAAACATGCCTATTTAAAATTAGTACACAACTCGTACGGTGCACGTAACAAATAATAAATAACATTATATTAATTTTAAAACAATTGTCATTCTAATATTTTTATTCCGAAATTTGATTTGGCTGCAATGTGTTCCTATAAAATAATTATTTTGGTAAAAAATTATGTTAAATAACTTATTCAATATCTCTATTCAATCAACAGAATCCTTCTTGTGGAAGGATTGTCTCCCGTCTTTTTTCCTTTCTTACGAACAGTTGATTGTATGATTTCAAGTGATTATTTAAAAAAAAATAAAATAAAAAAAAATCGAACTTAGAGAGATTGAGTCAAACAACTTACAAGTATTCGTTATATGAGTGTGAATGACCTCAAGAGTAAATTCGACCATGCTTGTAAGTGGTGCACTATCCTAAAGATTAATATTTTATTTTATATTAAGATCAAATCACAGTCGCACTCTTTACTCTCACCAGCAAACATCCAAAAGACAAAGTAGTTGCTATCTTAGTTTTTTTACTATATACAGTTCATATTTTGTGCTCGATTGTTGTCAAAAATCAAAATGTATAGAAATATTTTATGACAACCTCATTAATATTGAAACTACATGTCTTCACCTTTATATCTTGATGAATTCTAATTTGTACAAAGTTGATGTCAAACAAATCAAACATTTAAAATTATTTCATCTAACCGTGGATGACGTCAAAAGTAAATTCGGTCATATGCCACTGAGCACATAATACTCATTAATTAAGTTTCTACCATCAAGTTAAACACATTCAAATATACACACACCCATATGAGTGCATATCGACCCAACAGTAAAAAAAATCTAGTGAGAGCACTATTTCGTAGGTAGATCGAAGTTTTATTAAAGCGTCATAGGTAGATATATCGAGGTTTTATTGTGTTCTTCGCAATAGTAGTTGTTAAGAGATGTTGTCAATATGAAATGTATGCTAGCATATTTGTCCATATCATATATAATATATATATACACATACATACGTACAACTTTGAAAACCCTAAATACTTATCTAAGATATCCGGCCAAAACCTAAATACTTATCCAAGATCCTTCTTAAGCACCTGTTCTAGCTAGTATTTGTCCCTCATCTAGCTCCTTCTGTAGTGAATCCAACACTGTATCAAAAGTGCCTTCAAAACCTGCAATCGCTGCTTAATTTCACGTGTATTCTCTTCTTTTTCATGATTTGAGAATATCTAACCTTTGCAAATAATGTAAAGTATGCTTATATAAGGGAGATAATAGTATCAATATAAATATGTTGATATAGCCTCATATAATTACGGTAACTAATTTTTTTTCTTTAATTAACATATTTTTTTTTTGAATGCAAAAGAAAAGTCTGAAGCTTATTATTGCATATAATAGTTACATATCATTCTCCAAATAAAATAAGAAAATATGGGCTGAAATTTTGAAATTAAATCAAGATAAAAAAATAATTTTTATCATGCAAATAGTTGTACAATTTACCGGACAACAACGATCGTGGATCGGAAAAAAAAAAAACAACAACAACGACCCGACAAATATGCCACATAGCACAATCGAAGTATTTTTTTCTTAGACGAAAAATCCTACCCAAATGACCTCTCCCTAACTCCTTTCGGAGAGTTTAAGCCCTATCATTTTTAGGCAAAAGTAAAAAGATTATCATGTTTCTAGAATCGCTTGCGCCCATTCAAGTATTGCACAAAGGTTTCAATCAGAAACGGGCCCACGTCGGTGGCCACACTGTAGTCTCCCTCCCTGCCATTGTAATCTCCTCCACGTGGTGAAAAAACAGTGCCTTGGCCTCAACAACCGAATTTCCCTCTCCTCCGGTGAAGAATCTTTGTCGGAATCTATCACCCCTAATTACTTCTCTGTCGAGGTAAACAAGCCAACGGCAGGGGGACCTCAGTTCTAGCAGCTCCTCCTCCGCCCCTCAGACAATTTAACTCCGACTGCCGAAAGGACACCAGATGATATATGGGTTAACGCCAATTATTGCTTCAAGAGCCCAATGATGAGGCTCCATTAAGATTCTTAAGTTCTTTTCCCTCTAGATCAACATCTTTATAGGTACAATTTTTTGTGGCTATATTTTAGAAGGAAATAATAATAATTCATATTGTTGGCAAATGATCTGTGCAAATTTGGGATTCCATATCAATATATTTGATTAGCGTTGATAGCATAAATCTTGCCAAAAATTTGACTACATATTTACCAAATTTAGAATTCCAAATCAAGTTAATTTAAGAGTGTGATGCAATTTTTAATTAGGACATTCATTGAGAAGGTAAATTTGGATGCAGATATTTCCACATAAGTTATTTTAAGGATAATATCACATTACATCTTAATTAACCAATAACGTGGATCTAGATTTGATTTGCACTTAAAAAATTTGAATTTATATTTCAAACTTGAATTATATATGTGAAAGGCGGGATAATTTGAATTTAATTAAAAAAAGTTCCAGATTTAGTAATT